ATTATTGTTTTTACAGATTTTTTTTAAATTCAATAAATGCAGCCTTATGAGACTTCTTTTAAAAACATAACATTTTTTTACAAGAACAATTCTCTTCTTAATTAAAGAATTAGAAAAAAAAATCTTACAAATCCCAGGCTTTTCAAACTAACGAAAATGTATCATGTAAAGGATAATCCACAGCTAGTGCATTAAACAATTTTATTGCACAACATAGAGGTAAAGGCAGACAGACACAAATCCATTCAAATTTCAAATCGTTTAATGCACAGCTAGCCGTGGATTATTATGTTTATACCATGGTCATTTGCCAGCATTGACAAGTTGTTACTGATGTTTGCAGCGCAACATATGACCGGAAGGGTAAAAATGACGGTTATTTTCGTCAGTTACGGCTCATTAGATCTAGCACTCTGCCCGCTTTGAATCAGACACAGAGATAAAGTAGTGCGTAAGATATTAAATGTATTTAAATGAATTAATTATAGTATAGATAATGAATATAATGAGTATATAATGAATTAATTATCGAGAGAGAGATATTTGTGTGAATTACCTGCATCTGCGTGCAGCATCTCTCTATATTAACAACGAAGCTGTGAGTTTAATTACTTCAAAACCAGTGATGTTACCACCTTGTTGCTGAGAAAAAGAATGTAGCGATTCAGTAGTAAAGCTATTTTATTAATAAAAGTCACAGGGCAGCATTGATAAGTTTCTGTGCTCCTGAATGATCTCCCAGTGACGTATTTGTGTGTCTGCTTCAATGAAAACAGTGCATTAATATAGAACGGAACTGCCTTGAAACTACCTGTGCATTAAACGTTTTTATTGCACCTTCCAGCCAATCAGAATCAAGTATTCAGACAGACCATGGTATAAATGAAAACAAATGTGTAAAAAGTGTGTGACACATTGTTATATGCAAAAGGCACAAAGTTAGCCTTATTTATGTATTTTTGTTTTATGAACACTGACAAAGGCAGATTTGCAAAACATTTGTATTGGTTTTTAATCTCCTTTTTTGTTTGTTGCATTTTTTGACTATAGATACACAGGTCTTGGCACTTAATTTGCTGGACGTGAGTGCTTTGATTAAATATGATTGAACACTGAAAATAAAGATAACTTGCAGCTCAGGAAGTGAATCAGATGTTGCAACATTCGTCAGACTGATTCAAACTGGTGGTAACTCGTCTTTTAAAATAGTTTAATATAATAATTGGCACATAGGCCTAAGAGTAATTTGTTTGGTAATCAGACTGCATTGGTCACGCTGTATGGTTTTGCTTTTGATTTCCAATGCTGCCTGAATCCAAGAGAACACAAACATAGACAAGAATTTTTTTAATGTACCTCATCAGCTTTAATAACTACAAACCAATAGCCTTGAAATATTAAAATGCTTATTTATTAATATTTGTATGTACAGTTTATCAAAACTAATCTGTTTATGATAATTGTTTGTATTATGACTCCTATTATTAAAAAAGAGGCGTGGGAGTTTGTTGTCCTAGGGTCATTTATTAAAATAACGGAGGCTTAAACACATTAGACAGTGATGTGCTATTTTTGGGACTAAACACATTTAGGAATAAATCTCTCTGAATATGTCCCAAAGCAATACTGGCTGCTCTGCCTCCACTTAATTCACAAAAGTCTGACCAAATTCTCTGACTGCAAATATTCAAATGCTCACAAAAAAACTCATTAATAATCAAACAAGCTTTTTAATGCATGTAGGCAATATGAGTGAGCGCTGACATTGCCAATAAGGAGGGGATCTGAAAGGGCCAACCTACATCCAGTTCATCACCCCTAAGGTCCTGGTGGATCAAGCGACATTCTTAAGAGCTTTCAATGGGATAATGCCATACAAAATGGGCTGTGTGTAAGTGGACACGATGAGTCCATCAACCACTACAACATCTTCAAGAAGGGCAAAAAACAGGGCCAGTGGCCATATGCAAATCAAGAGTCTCTTGAAAGGAAGAGGAGTGGACACAGCTGTCTGACAGACAGACCTTCAACCCCTCTTTCATCATTTATAACACTGCGAGTACCAGGAATATGGCTGCTGCCAGACATCTAGGGGCCCTATTTTAACGATCTAAGCGCATGGTCTAAAGCGCACGGCGCAAGTGCACTTAGGGCGTGTCCGAATACACTTTTGCTAGTTTAACGACGGGAAAAATGGTCGGCTTGCCCGGCACATGGTCTAAGAGGGTTGTCCCTATTCTCTTAATTAGTAATGTGTGATTTTTGGGCGTAACGTGCAAAAAAACAATCAGAGTCATCTCCCATTTCCTTTAAAAGCCAGTTGTGCTCGCGCCATGGTGGATTTGCTATTTACATGTCATAATTTGCAAGCAGAAAGACTGAACACGTCTCCAGAGAGGAAACAGATCTGCTCGTGTGCGAGGTTAAAGCGCGCAAACAGACCATCTACAGGACAAGGCGGATTCCACCATATCTTTATGTACACAATAATAATATTTTACATCGTAATCCTTTTATTTTTTATATTTGGCATGTTTGTGTGCTGCTGCACAGTGTGTGCACACGCCTATAGGCTCATATTACTAATGCGCCCTTTAAATTAAAAAAAACATACTGGGCTATTTGACTTTAGACAAGATTAGATCAGGTTGCCTCAAAATAGCAACGCGCCTGAACACGCCTCGTTTTCAGACCAGCACGCCCATGGGCGAACAGATGGGCGCAAATGCATTTGCTATTTAAACAACGTGGCTCAGGACGTGAAAATGATGGCTGAAACTAGCAAAAAACACTTGCCTGGCACCGCATTGCGCCGGGTGTATGATAGCGCCCTAGATCTTTGAACTCAGCAATGTGCTTAACAAGCCAAACAAAGGTCTCTTAAAATGTGATGGTCGAGTTTTCTTATAAGGATTGCATCCATGAAAAAGCACTAAGTATACTTCAGAAAATAACAAAGAAAGGTTTTGCTAGATTGGTTGATTAAAAAGCAAATACCAACTGTGCAAAAACTAAATACAAATATTAACTTTAACTTCTAACACTACATGAAGTTAAGCAGTGGTTATACAGTGAACTGATTTGTCAGATCTGAAATCTAAGGAAAAACTAAAGGCCTCAAACAAAATGGTTATTTTGTGGTTGGAACAGCATGTCAGCCAAGAAAGCACAAGAGACATCTAGTCTCAGTTTTTTTTAACCAAGCACTAATAAATAAGCTAAAACTGCTTCCTTTGTGTAAAGTTGTAAGGAAGCTGTTAAAAGTGTAATGAGTAAAAACATGCTATAATCTCCTGTTGCCTTCACTGAGCCTCTGTGTCTATGCTGGTTTATACACTTAAAAGAAAACAGACATATGACACCCAAATATGCAATTTGAAGCTGGCAATTATGCCCAGGCCACCAGATTTCCGTAAATCGGTTCTTTCTAAAGCCCAATTTATACTTAAAAAAAAAAAAAAAGTATTAATTTCAATTTCAGAAAAGGGTACAAATCACACATAAGTAATCAAAATATACATAACAATATACAAAAATACAACACATAAAAAGAATACAATACAATTTTGCCAGGGGAAGCTTACGGACCATTACAAAGAGAAAGAAGACCATATGTTGACAGTTTTAATTGCCTTTTTGTTGTTGGAACCAGAAATCAGAATAATATAATGTGCAACTTCGTGGAGAAACAGTACAAAATTAGGGTTTCTAGCGCTAAATTTGGACTTATGAATGTGAAATTTTGCCAAAAGAATTAATAAATTTATAATGAAGTACCTCTTATCTTTAGTTTGACTTTCATAAAAGCAAAACACAACATTCTTCCATAATAAGGCAAAGTCTTTATAAATATGGTCAATTATGAATCTGCTGAAATTTTGCCCAATTTATACTTCTGCGTCGAACTCACGTCAGGCTGCTCAGGCAGCTACGTCAGGCTGTGTGTGCGTACACTTCGGCGTACCCTTGCTCGTTTAATGAACTGGTTCAAAAAACGATTCAGGAGTTCATTATAATGTGACGAGCTACATCATGCTTATACCATTTTCAAGGAATATTGTTTTTTTTTATTATTAACAATCGATTTTTATTTTGTATTATAAATAAATTATTGTTTCATATATTAATAACAGCATTTATTGTAACGGAATGTGTCCGTGTTCAGTTCGATTCAGCCATGTTTCAGGAAATCAAAAAAATCTAAATATATTTAAAAATATAATGGGTGCGTTTACATTAAACACTGAGATAAAATTACTTAGCTAATGAACCATTTTAATTGTTATAATAACATTATATGAGACAGAGTTGGTTTTCACATTTTAATCCGACACATTAAGCAAACAAAAAAAACTTTTTTTGGGGGGGGGGGGGGGGGGGGGGGGTTCATAAATTGGTTAAACAGGAATCGGACATGTCCCAGAGGAGTCGATGACTCAATAACAACTCGAACCGATTCCATTCGATTAACGTTGAGAGTTTTGCAAACAGGTTTAACCGATTCACTGAAAAGATCCGATTCAAAATAATGATTCGTTCACGACTTGGACATCGCTATCGAACGTACCAATGCAGACCAACAAATTCCATTCGAACTCTATGATGTGTATGATTACAAACAGACTGTTTAGGCAGAAGCTTTTAAAACACAGCCAATCAGATTGATGGCAGAAGGACAGCGTTGTTCAGATCCAAGATGTGGACTTCTCTGACTTTAATTTTTAACACGCATACAGCAAATCCCCCCTTCACATATAAATAAACACATACTATTGAAGTGTAAATAAGACGTGAGGCCGCAGCAGTTCGCAACACTCATCAGCAACAACAGCAACCAAACAGCCATACTCTAAACAAAGACGTGTAAAACAACCATAAAACATAGACATGGCGATTTTATCTGCGTAGTAACTACATACCTGTTATATAACGCTAACATAGTGTGAAATTCGCAGAGTAGAATGTTGACGCAAGCTAGTGTAAAAAACAAAGCTACTTACTCTTGGTGAACAGAAGCAGACTGCCCCAGTGCACGTTCACAATCCGTCCCGTTTTCCGCTTTTATCATAAATATAAACACTATTTGCTCATTTTCGCTGGATTTATAAGACTATTCACATCGGCATGCATCATCTCCATCGACACTGATTCGGTACCGGTCGGCGTGTTCATGCCTCAGCGCCTGAAATCCCACAGAAAGGGAACTAGCAGTGTGTTGTTGTATGGGGGTGAATCAAAGAGATGGGAAAAAATCTGTCACAGCCAGAATCAGTGTGGCGTGTGGGGGAACAAAGAGCCACACGGCCGCCTAGTGGAAAGAGAGCGGAATTACACCCACTGAGCACAAATGTAAAAAAACAAACACATCAAGACTGCTTGGACATGTTTGAAAGAATTAGCATGAATATAATTATGTATCTCTAAAGAAGAATATGAATAAAGCAGGAATAACTAAGTTTACATTAAAAGTAATACAATGAAGTCCACATATTTTGTAATGTTTTAATTACCTGTACTTACACGTGTTACATGCATACCTGTTTGAAAAATTAATAAAATATATTTTGTAAATGTCATAAAAAAATAAACAAATGTACATTTTAAGTAATACTGTAAAGAATACAAACACACACACACACACATACGTTTTAATCCTTTGTACTTAGGTGTTCAGTTTTCAAATGCATATCATTTACAATTACTATGCATAAGTTGAATTATTTATATTGTATAAAAGTGTTGTACTCAGCTTGTATTTATAAATAAATGATTATCTGCATTGCAATTCTTTAAAAACATTACAGACAATAAAATATAGAGAGCCTGTCCTTGCACTAATACTAAATCTTTCTCTAATGATCCTGAGTATGACATACACTTTGCCAAGTTTTTTTTTTAAAAATGGTTATGTAACAGAAATTATATCTAACAATAACACTAAAAATACTTTACTATTGATTTGTATCAACTGCATTGCACTTTGTAAACTGGAACAAAGATTTACAGATAGCAAACCTAGTTTACATTCCATCACATCATTATTATTGCTCATGGCATTAGAAGACACAATATGACAGTTACATTTTGTCATTCTATATGTTGACATCCACAAATATTGTTTGTCAGCTCTAAATGAGAGTGAGTTTAGTATTGATGGATGGATGCCTTTAAATCCATATGACATTACCATAACCAAACATATACAGGACACATGAAAGCAGTGCGTCGCTGTATGGTCAGATGCCTAATGCACTATACATTAATTGTATATTATCATTCAAAAGTCTGGATTTTATTTTTCTAATAAGTCTCTTTGCTCACAAGGCTGCTTTTATTGGAACAAAAATACAATAAAAACAGTAATATTGCAAATAAATTATTGCAATTGAAATGAACTGTTGTTCAATGTAATTTATTCCTGATGGCAAATCTGAATTTTCAGCATCATTACTCCAATCTTCAGTGTAAAATGATCCTTCACAAATTATTTATATGCCGATTTGGTGCACAAGTAATATTTCTTATGAATGTTAAAAACGGTTCTTTAAATATAAAGAACAGCGTTTATTTGAAATACATATTTATTTTTGTAACAAATGCCTTTACTGTCACTTTTGGTCAGTTTAAAATGTGTTCTTTCTGAATAGCTCAAACTTTTGAACAGAAATATAAAAACAGATTATAAATTATTACTGAAGAATACTCAGTTTGACAATGTCCAGGTAAGATTATACTTGCGAGGTGATGCGAATACACATTTATTTTTGTTTGCCGTTAAGATTGCTGTTCTATTAAATCAATTTGCAATAGCTTTCAGAGAATGAGGCAAATAATACTTGACAGTTTTCTTTTATTTAGACAACCCAAATAAAAGGCACATAAAACATTGCGCAATGTGTTTACATAATTATTCTTGACATACACTTAAAAAAAAAAAATGTAGGAATGTTTTTTTTTTACCTTTCTGCTAACCAAAAAAAGCCTAGTCTTCGTATATACAAAATTACCAATGTTAATGTTCTAATACAAAAGGTCTTATAAAAGGTTATTTTCCTTGCATGTGTCTATCATAACTACCACGTTCTCTGAGCTAAATGTTTTTGTACAAAGATATACATTCATTGGCCTTCACATGGGTTTGCCAATTTAATCAAAAAGGACATGAAAGGACCGGACTCATTTTAAACTCTCCAATCCAAAACCAAACACAAAGTCTTTTCTTGTTTTTCCCCATTAATGTTCTTTAAAAGATACTGATGCATAAGGAGTAACTTCATTAGCAATACTTTATAGGATATAAAAAAAAATAACAGATTCTTAATTCCTCAAACATGGCAACTTGATATTTCATATGCAAAATAGATTCTAAATCTCCACACACATTTGGTAAACAGTTAAACTGCAGTTGGCCGCCTAGTTGTTTCCATCGCTGAGCACAGCTCGTCTTGTCAGAGAGAAGACTGATGTGTTTCACGGTGGCATTTTCAGACATGCAGTTCAGGCACGGAAGTGACGCCATTGCGGAAGGACACACATTTAATCACGAGCACAATTAAAAACGCTTTCTTTTGTTGTTGTTGTTGTAGTGTTTTCAGTCACATTCCTCGAATTCCAGTTCACGAACCTCATCCGAAATAATCCGCCTTGACTAAAGGCAACATTTAAAACAAACAGAACGAAAAATTAAATAGGCCATTAAGTTATTTTAGCTTTCGCATGCCTACATGTAAGTCCATGTAATACTAACTTTGGATAGTTCACTCAAAAATGAACATGCTGTCAGTAATTACTCACCCTCATGTTGTTCCAACCCCGTAAGACTTTCGTTCATCTTCGGAACACAAATGAAGATATTTTTTATGAAATCTGAGAGCTGGATCACTCCTCCATAGGCTTCTAAGGGATTGAAAATATCTTAATTTGTGTTTCGAAGATGAACAAAAGTCTTACGGGGTTGGAACAACATGAGGGTGAGTAATTACTGACAGAATTTTCATATTTGGGTGAACTATCCCTTTAAGACCACAAATGTTTTTCTACCAGGTCAACGCTGGTTGGGAAACACTGGGGGTGCGAGTTAATACAAACTAAACCTTTTTTCAGCAATTTACACCCAGACGGTGGTAGCTATGACATCATCAGTTAAAAGTACGATCACATTCAGCTGGTTTTACTTTTTGTTTTGAGACTCATTCACATTACACAAGTGCACGCAAGCCCAGTTTAGAGGGCGACACGTGACAACATACCTTGCATCAGTTTCCCCATATCATAACACATAAAATGGGCTGGCAGCTGTCCGGTTGGGAGGACTGAGAAAGGCATATTGCTTTTATATATCCCACTCAGAGAGGAAATCAAAGAGAAAAGCTAGTTTGGGGATAATTGCGATGGCCGATTCTGTTATTTTGAACAGGGTTACTCTGAACAAGATGACAAACCCTGAAAATTTGAAGGCAGTTTTGGTTTTCACTGTGACTGGGGTAAACAAACAAGCAACAGATGTTAACTTAATGCTCCTGTAATGGACGATCACGTCAACAGCTAAAGAGTATTTGGCACCTCGACCTCTTGAGGTGCGTCTCAGTATTCGCCAATAAAGGAAACAATGTTTAGTGTGATAATTGCTAAGAAAATCAGGCCTGGAAGAAAGCGTTAGGCATGATTCTGTACACTACAGGAGCAGAGTAAGTTGGGACACCCTCAGCATATTTCCTGAGCAAAAGGTCCTAAGGAAAAACAGCCCTCGTCCTTCAGAAAGGAAGAGCAGAGACGTCACGGCTACAAAACTAAATGCTCTTAAGATAAGATTCAGGATAAAAATTGACCTTTCAGTGTTGAAGTCGGCCACTTGGTGACCAGGCATCTATATGAACACTCAAAATATTTGATCTAAGATAATACTGCCGTCAGAATAGTCACTAAAGAGATATGTGTTCAGTGCAAGAGTTCATCTGATTGTTACTGTAAATGTTCAACCCCACTAAGCAGAAGAATATCCCAGCTACTGAAACAGAATGCAATTATTCTACAATCAAGAATGACCAACTGCAAAGATTATCTATAAAATAATAATAATAATAATAATTATAATAATAAAAACACAGCTACAGATTAAAAGGCTTACAACGTAAGGAGGCCTTTTAAAAACATATTCTAAATTTTAGTTTTCCTCATTTGTAGAGTATTGTCTCAAAAATAAAAAACCCTCTCATCTTCCATTATTTGAAGCCACTGTCCCTTTTGTTGTACGTGACTCATTAAAATGCATAAAACTATGAAATACTGATAAGCAAGCTAACGTAACAAAAATAAAATCCTCACAGTTAATATTTGCCAAAGTCCTTAAACCGTTAACACTAACAATGAAGCGGCGACGTGCTCCACTTCAAACAGTCGACTGGCAAGGATTTTCTGGCACTAGAAAAGTGAAATCACCAAACATACAGCATGTCAGTCTTCCACTCCATGCAATAACTATTTTTTTCTGTCCGTCACTAAACTCTAGACGATCTGGATCTGCTGGTCTCTCAGCCGAGCGAAGGAGACGCAAAGTGCCAGCTAACTTCCACATGATTCCTTGCCGCTGCGGACTGTTGTTTTCCTATACTCGCCATTCCTCCAGGCTCTTTTTCCCTCACAGCTGGAGAGGAAGACTATAACGGGAGACATGAGGTTTACGAGGAGAGGCCGGGTGGGACGTTCGGTTCTACCAGGGCGGGGAGGAAGGCAGGACTTGCGAAAGGAAAGGCATGCTTTCCATCGGCCTCATGGCGATGTTGAGCGGACCGGTGATGTTCATTGACATGGGAGAAGTGATGGCGACGGGATGGGCGATGTTCATGGGCCCCGAGGCTGGGATGTTGACAGAGGCGATGTTGACGGGAGTAGTGATGGTGACCGGGTGCTGAAGGCTGACAGGGGAGGTGATATTGACCGTGTTGGTGGTGATGTTCATCTGGGCGGCGATGGTGACGGGGTTGCTTGCGGTGCCGCGGTTCATGGCCGTAGTGTTGGATGCGGTTGAAGCAGCGACTGACGTGATTGAGGCAGAGTTGCACACGTTGTTAGAGTCTAGCCAAAAAAGGTGGGAAAGAAGAGAGTGAATAAAACATTGAAATGATTTCTAGGGTTTCTCTATGGGCAAGACAGACAACACAAGGGTTCATCAATAAGGATGGCCCAGGGTCAGTGTGAGAGTGTTTCAGGCTAGTTGTACCATGTTGCCACTGAAAATTTGACATT